AGACGCCGCCTCTCCTGAGGTCCCTCACGGCGCGGAGGGCTTCCAGCCGCCACGGCACGCAGCTGCGGTGAGCGTCTTCTATTTACATGACTTCTAGCAACACAAGCTTTTTATTTGTCTTAGAAAGAGGCTGAAAATGCAGTGTCTTTTCAGAACAGCTTTATAATTTTTTTTTTTCCTCCCCGAAGCCCGGCTCAGCCCTTGCCAGCAACGGACAGACCGAGATGTGTAAAGGAAGGAGTTACACGCTGAAGCCTTTTAGGTTAATTTATTTTCAGTACCTGTTCTTTGGTACAGTTATTAGTAAAGCTGGAAAAATACACACAAGTATTTTCCTCGATGAAAAGACCAACTAATTAAAACAGCTGTACATCTTTACAGCACATAAAAAGCCTTGCTAACAGAATCCTCTACCGCATCAGCGCAAATGCTACCAGCAAAATCTCCCCCGATACAGATGTTCATTGATACCTGAATTTTATTGTAATTTATTTTCCTAAGCTGTAATTTAATGTATTTGAAGAGACTTCAAAGTGTGCTAAACTCATTAAAACATTCAGTGCTTGCCAAAAAAAGCAAGCTAAACATTCTTCCCGGTCTGAAACTATTATAAGCCCCCTTCTTAAAATGCACCCATGTTAACGGCTCAAGCAACTTACTCATTTCGTTAAAAGCACCAGTGACTAAGATCTATGTTATATTACAGCCGCCATCTTGCAAATGACTACTGAAGTTAAATGCTAGCACTAATAAAAACTTAAAAAAATACAAATCTCTTGCTACCAGTCCTTAAAGATTTGTACAGAACATGTAAATAGGAGAACACTTTATATATGTTAAAATCTAAGTCCTTTCTGCAGTTTGTTCAGCGTAACCAGGTAGTATTCAGTTGTGTCTGTTTTTTTATGCTTGTGTCCATTTTCAAAACTTCTCGAATTGCCATGGTAGCATAAGTGGATGGGGGAAGGGAGAACTCCATCTTTAGTGCCCTGAATTTACCATCTGTCATAAGGGGTAAGAGGAGACACAAAGCAAGAAAAAGTTGTTAAGGGTGTAACTGATGCTCATTCTGGATGCCATCTGAACAGGACCACATTTTTCCATGACCAACCCCCCAGCCTATAAAACAAACTAGCCACCACCACCACCATACTCCAATTTACAATCCACAGTGGAATTTCATAAAACAACTTCTTAGCAGGAAGTGATGGTTTTCTTTTTTTAAAAAGAAAATAAACTTCTGTTTTTTCAAAACTGAATTCCTAGTCTCTGTTCATTTTTTGTGGAAAGTAGTGTTGAAAGACCTTGTGACTAGAATTATATAAAAAAAATTTCCATTTAATTATGTTAAGTATTTGAGTAGTCTCTTGAGAAATAAGGGTCCTTTTTTAGACGCCTAACTTGGGATATCTTCAATACCATTAGACTTACCCATCTAGTTAAATGAAAGCTCTTCCTTAAAAGAGCTTTCAATATGTAGCAGTTCAAAACAACAGCCAGATCAAACTTCTATTTTGCAAACATCAGCAGAAAAATAACTTACCTGCAGGAAGAACTGGTAATGGTCTTCCTTCCAGCTTATCCAAATCTGTAGTAAATAACGGGATTCTGGGATCGTCATAAGCAACGACCTCCCTTTATAATAAATACATGTAAATTTTAAAATTATTATTTTAATTATTTAGAATAAAAATTATATTTTTATTGTTTTATCTAAATCTATAAATTTTATCATTATAATAATATTGTCACAATTTGGCAGTTACAACTGAAATGGAATTGATTTTCTAATAAAACAAGGTAAGGCAGCATTTATGGTGCAGTAACTGGTAAAGCTCTATGTAGAAGATTCACCTCTTTGATGCAGATTATTAAAAAAAATAATAAATTACTGATAAGTTTCTTTGCATAACTCATCTGTTTTACCTCATGGGCTGTCAGGATTTCCAGCTATACAAGAAGCATAGCTTGTGAAATTATGAGAAGAATGGTGTTAACTCTAAGAACACTTGGGGATGGAGGGGGGCAGGGAAAAAAAAAAGGAGCCTTCATTTTGAAGAAAGCCATCTAAACTTCTTTGAAAGAGCTTAAATACATATTATACTCCTGCCATTCATTTAACAGAAATTCCACATGTAATGACAAGGCTGAAAAGTCACTGGGAAGTAGGTAGGCTTTAAACAATAGCACTAATTAAAACAAAGTGTAAACATTTGTATTTTTTGTTTCCCTCCTAAACCTTCTGTATTTTTTTTTTCTATGCATTGGTGATCAAGTCTTTCTGCACATTTTTACAGTCACCTGTTTGAAAGGTGTTTATTCAGTTGCCATAAGACAACTAGGTTGTACCTCTAGCAACAGCGATTTAGTAGGTTTAAGTGATACAGATCTGACTGACAGGTAATTGGAGCCCAACTTTCTCATAGCAAGGCTACAAAAAAACCTGTTTTGAATATTACCAATTATGTTTCAACATAAATAATTACCTATGAGGTGTTCAGGCAAGCCCTTGCAAAGAGTGTAACAACTAGACAGATGTCTTGACACTCATGCATCACAAAACCAGAGGACCAAGGAAGAAGCTGAGGGAACTGGGGTTTAGTCTGGAGAAGAGGCTAAGGGGAGACCTTATTGATAGCTCTTTACAACTACCTGAAAGGAGGTTGTAGCGAGGTGGGTGTTGGTCTCTTCTCCCAACTAACTAGTGATAGGACAAGAGGAAATGGCCTCAAGTTGTGCCAGAGGAGGTTTAGGTTGGATATTAGGAAAAATCTATTTACTGAAAGAGTGGTCAAGCATTGGAACAGGCTGCCCAGGAGTCACCATCACTGGAAGTGTTCAAAAAACATGTAGATGTGGCACTTCAGGACATGGTTTAGTGGGCATGGTGGTGCTGGGTTGACGATTGGTCTTCATGATCTTAGAGGTCTTTTCCAACCTTAACAATTCTATGATTTTAAGTAAGGCTATGGTTCAACTTCAACTGCGTAAAAACCGTGAGGGAAATGCAGACGGATTCCTCCCCACCTATACTTCAGTCTACATGTATGTCCTGTGGGTCAGTCTAATGGTTCTTGCACTTAGTCATCCCACATATACTCTATGCTGTCAATTCAAGTGTAATTTCCTTTATCCTCCTACTTACCAATTGACATTCTGGGGTCGGATGATAATCTTTCTGTATGCTCCAGAAAGTGAATAATCTCTGATCTTATGCCTCATGTTGTTGATATCAAGATTGTCAGCTACTAGCATTTCCTTGTAGGCCTCACCAACTGCAAGAGAGGAAAACCTTTAATAGGAGAGCACGCAGTGAGGACGATTGAAACAGCACGTTTTCATGGATCAGTTCCTTCCCTTATATTTAGTAGTTTTCAGCATATATGGGATAAATGTTACACAGAAGTTTAAAATTACCTATTGCAAATCTTATTACCTACAATGTTTGCTTCTACAACCTGATTAGTAGAGGCAATAACCAAGAGAGAATCTTAGCAAATTAAAAACTTCAGCTGAAACCAAAATTTACAAAATACTTTACTGACATTTCATTGACATCTCATGCATGCTTTTCAATTATCTAAACTTCGCAAGACTAACCTCAGATAGATGGAGAAAAAAAAAATGGGCCAGATTACCCACTGCTGTATCTTTGAATAAGCTGCAGAGTGAACTGAGTTAAGACTCTGAAGAAATTAGCCGGTAGGAACCTTTAAGTACACTGCCAACAGAAGGACTAATTCTGTTACAGTCTTGTATCCTTAAGTAAGGGTGTGTGCATGCATGCCTGGGAAGACAGGGAAGGCAATTGGAAATACAAGAGTATACTGCAGCTAAAAGGCTGTCTGGTGCCTTTGATTCGTAGTGCAATTGCCAGCATTGCTTTATGCAGTTGGGAATTTTAAACAGGAATAAGTTAGGCTTACTGTGGGCAAATCCCAGTATAAACAGATTGAACATAAAACATTGCAGCTTTTCCTTCCAATCTTTTAACTCAATGTGGTTCAGTACCACACCTCATCACAAACAGATTTTTACCTTCCAAGTGTTTCAGAGATGGGTGACAAACAGGATCCTATCTCTGAGACTTATTTCTGGCAGGCAGGCAGTCTCGAGAGACCTGACTGGTCTTTCAAGGACAACCAAGTAAAAGAGCAGTTCAACCAAACATTGAGGAAACAAGCACATGTATTGGGAGACTGGTTTGGCTAAGTAGGGAACTCATGACTCGGCTCATATGTAAGGACACAAAGTATGTGAAAGCTAGGGCTGGCTACAAAAAAAGAACGAACAAGTATACAAACATTGTCCAGGTACACAGGGATGGTGTTAGGAAAGCCAAAGCTCAGCTAGAGTTGAAATCGACAACAGACATCAAGAATAACAAGAGTTACACCGCAACACCAGGAATGAAAGAATACAACAAGGGAAATACTGGCCTGCTGCTAAATGGAGAAGCTAGTCTAGTGACAGCTGGTCTAGTGACAGACATACGACTGATGGTCTCAGTGCCTTCTTTGCCTCAGTCCTGACCAGCAAGTCTCGAAGTTCCTAGAGGCAAGGTTCAGGAAAGCAAGGGACTACCAGTAGTGGAAGAAGATACAGGCTGAGTGAGCTGGCTCACGTCATGATAAAGCTTTGCTCTATCATCTCTGAGAGACGGTGGTGATCTGGGGAGGCCGCAGGTGACTGCAGAAAACCAAGTGTTGCACCCATCTTTAGAAAGGGCAAGAAGGATGATCTAGGGAATTACAGACCAGTCAGACTCACTTTGGTCCCAGGGAAAATAATGGAACTAATCCTCTTGGAACATGCTTCTGGGCACACAATGAGAACAATAGCGAGCAAGATTTCACCAAAGGGGGGAAAAGGAAAAGAAAAACCAAAAAACCCACCAACCTTACTGCCTTCTATGCTGAAATTATTACATCTGTGGATGAGGGGAGAGCAGTGCCTGTCAACATGTTCCCACAGCATGCTCATATCCAAGGTTAGAACATTACAATGGGTGGACTGCTAGATGGGTAAAGAACTGTCCAGCTCATCGTCTCAAAAGATAGTCACTATTGGTTTGAGCTCTACCTAGAAGCTCATTACAAGCAGAGTTCTTCAAGGAACAGGGATGTGTCCTGTTAAATACCTTTATCAGCATACATGGAGGAGGACCTGGAATTCACCCCACCAGGTTTGTGGACAACATGAAGCTGGGGTGGCAGTCAATACACTCAAGGGCAGGACTGCCATTCAGAGGGACCTAAGCAGGCTAGAGGAATGGGCCAAGAGGAACCTCATGAAATTCAGCAAGGACAAAGTCCTGTACCTGAGAGGGATTAACTCCTTGCAACGGTACAGGCTAGGGAGCAACTGCTGACAGTGACCTGGGACTCCCAGTGGAATGCAGACTTAACAGAGCACCCTGGCAGCGACAAAAGGTAGTAACAACAGCAGCTTAGCCAGTAGCTACACCAAGAAAAACAATTACTCCCCTTTACTGAGCACTCAGACTGCACTTGGAATAGTGCGTCCACTACAAAGTAGATGCTGATAAACTTGAATGAGTCCAATGGAGGACCACCCCAATGGCATGGGGCTGTAGCACATGTCCTGTGAGGAGAGTCTGAGAGAACAGGGCTCTTCAGCGTGGAGAAGACTGAGAGAAGACCTTAGAGACTATTTGTTCTTGAAAGTTTCATACCTGACAGGACAAAGCCCTGAGCAAGCTGGCCCGAGCTTGCTTTGACCAAAAGGTTCATCAGATGGCCTCCTGAGGTCCCTTCCAACCAAAATGATTCTGCAATTCTATCCCTTAATAATAACATTGTATGCAATGTAGATAATTATAGATCACTGAACCTATTCCATTAAAAACAATTTAGATCAAATACACTTCATATACAGGAGATAAAAGATACACTTTTTTGGTTTTTTTAAACATTCATATTGGTTAATATTTAATTAAACAGATCTGGTTCTCTTTTTTAACTTCAAGTGTTTACTTGGGTTACCAATTCTAGCAGTTTGGTTTGTTTTCTAATCTAAAAATCAAATGCATTTCAATTAATATTTCACCTTTTTTTTCCCCCATTGTGCTGAGATAAATAATTTTGCCTCAGTAAAAAATGTCTGTCTTTGGAAAAGCAACTAGCTAAAAAGAGATACGAAATAGGTTTATGTTAAATGAAACAAGTTACAATGCAGACTATTATTTTCACAATGGGAGAGGCTGACAGTAATGTATCAGAGCTCTGACATAGTGTATTTTTTTAAATGGTCCCTGAGGTTGCTGTCCTGGTTTCAGCTGGGATAGAGTTAATTTTCTTCTTGATAGCTGGTGTGGTGCTGTTAATAAGGTGCTGATGTTTTGGGTTGTTGCTGAGCAATCAAGGATGGTCCAGCTTCTCCTGCTGGGCTGCCAGCAAGCAGGCTGGGGGTGCACGGGGAGCTGGGAGGGGACACAGCTGGGACAGCTGACCCAGGCTGGCCAAAGGGATATTCCATACCATATGATGTCATGCCCAGTATATAAACTGGGGGAGTTGGCTGGGGAGGGGCTACAGCTTGGGAACTAACTGAGCATCAGTAAGCGGTTGGTGAGCAATTGTGCTGTGCATCACTTGTTTTGCATATTTTTAATTATTATTGTTGTTGTTGTTATTTCCCTGTCCTATTAAACTGTCTTTATCCTTTATCTCAACCCACGAGTTTTACCTTCTTTTCCTCTAATTCTCTCCTCCATCCCGTCGGGGGGGGGGGGGGGGGGGGGGAAACCGGCCGCGTTGGGGGGGGCGGGGTGAGCAAACAGCTGTATGGTTGTTTTAGCTACCTGCCAGGTTAAACCACTACAGTTGCATAGATCTCATCTTCCTTTTAAGAACAATCTTAAAGACTACTTACATCTTCAGAGTAAGTACATAAGTTAACAGTCAGACGTACTTTTATGCTTTGGATAAATAACATCAAATCCAGGCAATGGCATCACTACGTCGTGGATAGTGTAGTTATTAACATCTCCTTCTTCGATATGAACAGCTGTGGCTACAATCAGGACAGAAAAATGAAGAGTTACCAGTATGGATGCCTGTGACAGTTAACATTAGCTAAATTTAAAATGAACCACTTGATTGAAACAGGCCTACTTTGAGAGGAGTAATTACTGTGTTTTATCTCCACTTAATAGACAACATTTCCAAGAAGAGAAGTAATAGTCTTCGAGGCTGTCACAGTCACCAGCAGAATCACAGCCCAGTTTCCAGTGACTTTTAAAGCTGAATGAAGTAAGGACTGCTAGATGAACAGTTCCCTAACCAGGCATCAAGCATACATGAAGGAGAAATACCGTGGATATTCTCACCCCAGGGAAGCGCCAGAGCAAATCCCAGTGAAGGAAGTTTGAACTGAGTGGAGTCTCTGCTTTACAAGATACTAATGCAGACAAAAACTTCTGTGGTTAACACAGAATAACATCCTTCCATAGTTCTCCATAGCTCAGGTAGGTTTGAGGTCATTCTTGAGAACAATCAGTCCTTCATAGTCTCTCTTTCCTATCCAGCTATTTGGAAAAACAAGCAAACCAACAGCCCTTGGAATTGTAATACCTAACTTCCAATTCCTTGCAAATTTGACTAAAATTGGCCAATGGATTCAGAAATCACTGGACCAAAATGGGCAAGAGAGAAAAGATAACATGTATGCAGTATCACATAAACAGATATGTGCCTTGTTTTTCTAGGAATCTGAACTACACAGCATCACTGGCTTTTTGTTTGTCTGATCTTACCTCCTTTAAGTGTAAGATCTCCTGGTACAGCTCTAAGCCCATATTCTTCTATTCTCTTGCTCACCATATTATTCCACACATAACTCTGGTAGCTATGAATATACATTAAACGATTATTTCTTGGTATCTAGAGGTAAAGAAAAAAAAAAGGGAAACATTAGAAAGATGTATTTTGTTTTTTTTTTTCCTCTCAATCATAACCAAAAAAGCATGTATTTGAAATGTTATCTTCTCCAGCAAAAAGACTAACACAATTTCTTGGTATAGAAATTTTGGTTTTTGTTCATTATTTGGGAAAAGGGTATGTGAAGAAATAATGCTTTTATGCATTTGAAATCCATACAAAAAACCCGTGCTTAAATTAAGAAAAAAAAAGCACTTTTTTAGTTTGTTTTTTTTTTTTAATTCAACAGCTCAAACACATGGGGCTATTATAAAACACTGAACTCAGACTCAGCCTCCTGAAATTGTAAGTAAACTTCGCAGATGTTAAAGCACAGTATTATTCTAACAGTTGTCTTCATAAACAAGAAATTATTCCTTGGCTCCTACAATGGGCTCAGTACTTTGCTGGCAATGTGGTATTTTCTCCAAAGACTTGATCTTGATTACAGTACCTGAAAATGACAGTGAATCCACCACCTCTATGCCAAGCTGATTCATTAGCACACTATCAGTTTGATTTATACTTTTAAAGCAACAGCAAAACTCTGATACTGAACTTTTGCACAGTTTTCAGATCTGTGTTATACATGGTTACCAAGTATAACTGTATTGCTTCCAACATACCAGAGTGGTTGTTGTATACTTTGGAAAGCTCATTATGCACACATTAATTACAGATGTTGTCAGTTACCATGCAGCAGTACTTCAAGCAAGAAGGCAGGATAAATGTAAAGATTTTACACTTAACCTTCTACTCATCGAGCATCTATGAGTCTATTTCAAAATCACCATCATACTATCAAAAGAGCATTTATTCAACTAAATACCCCACAGCACTTTTACACTCACTATGCCAAATGCAGAGATTATGTTCTTCATTCCATACTTTAAGAGTCCGCGTAGAAGCTGTCCTTCCACGCACCTTTTTACGGGTAGTTTCTTGAGGGCTGCTGCTGGATCTTTAGTCTTTGCCCATTCTTCTCTGCATTTTACTAAGTATCCCTTTTCAGCTAGAATGAGGATGTGAAATAAAAATATTTTAACTATGCACCAGAAAGCACCCATCTCTCCTCTGCTTAAAACAGTTGAAAAATTGAAGTTTCAGTCACAGTAATTACACAGATTAACAGAATCACAGATAGCTGAGGTTGGAAAGCTTCACATGGAGTCTGAGCAGACTATGTAGAAATATTCAGGTCCCTTTTCACCCTCACTGCAAGAAACTGCACAGCAAGGAAAGAGAAGCAGAAAGGCAGAGGGCCTGAGGATTGCTTCTCCATTGCTAAACTGGTTGAAGTTTAGTACATGCAAAGCTGTCCTCACAAACATCCTTTCATATTAAAAGAATCAAAGTCTAAAAGTGTTTTTCCTGAACATGCAGTTCTTGGAGGAGGAGAGGCAGAAACACTTTGATGTATCATTTTTTCAGTCCTTACCTCCTGGTCGTGGTTTTAGTATCAAATCCATTACTTCATTCCAATTGTTCTGTAGAATAGCTCTAAGATTCAAACAGTAAAGATTATTAAGAACTGAATAAATATATTTAAGGAGATTTAGCCAAATTATTAAAAAAAAGAAGTATTAGTGTTTAGATTTATGCAATATTAAAAATAGTGGTATTATGCAAGATAGCTGCTGAAGCAAGTTCAGAAACAAGTTCTTTCATGAATCTAAAAGTAAAACTGGCACATGCAATACGCTAGAAAAACATTCCCAAAAATACATTAGAAGTTATACAGCAATAAAAATAAATTTAAAAAAAAAAAAAGAAAAAGGATGAAAACAACACATACCTGCCAATTTGATACGTAGGAACAGCTGTGGTTCCAAATCTTTGCATTCCATAGTAATTAATGAATCCAATTTCCCTGAGAGAGTGCATTGCTTGCTCTATCTGGTCATCAGTTCCTGTTATGTTTCTAGCAGTAGAAAAAAAAAAGTTCTAGACAGATTATTAAGGGCTTACACTATTTTGTGATCCCCATAATATTAAAGCTCAACAGCAACATTATATGCAACTTATCAAATTCAAGAGACTCCTGCCAATAGAAGGAGTTTTCTTCTTTTTTGTAACACAAGATGCACTGATATCTCTCACCTATTTAAAGACGGGGAAAAAAAAAAAATCTAACAGAACTGTCTAAATAAATACTAACATATTACCTGAGCACAACAGTGAAATGGTTCCCTTGCAGTTCTCCTAATTTCAGTGGATGGTTCTTGTAACTGAAATTTCCTAATTTGAAATTCATCAAACATTTATTCAAATGAGCAAGTCTTTGTGCAGTGATTCTAAAAAGAAACAGACAACAGTCACCCACCTATGTTTAGAAAAGCTGAGAGTTACATAAATATAGAAATGCCAGCATTGCAAAACAAAAAGCAGTGAGTCCAGTTTCCCCAGTTTTCTATCGTTGCCTTTTCCAAGTATTTTAATGAAGTGTCTAAAAGAAAAGAACAAGTAATTCTGAAGGTTACTTATACAAGAGAAAAGGTATACTGTGACAAAGACTGTTAGTACTGTCTTTTCATACCTATGTTACAGTATGCACTCATAAAAAAGTCTTGCAGTAGCGATGTATACTGTACCCCACAAGCTGAACTCTGCTTTATTCGAGTAACTACACCATGAACACACTCCAGTGAGCGCAGTCATCAACACAAGAGTTAAGTGATTAGCCACTGTGTAAGCTCAGCACAGATGACACAGTATGAAATCCAACCTGTCACCGATGCCTGTCACTTTTGTCGCTGGTACTTTCGGAAGCACACCCTGTTCTTTGCATCACCGAGCTGCTCTTTGACACTTCTGCTAAAGTTTCTACCAGGACAGACAGGTTTATCCACTAGCATGGCCAGCGTACGCAGCTCAGAGTGGGCTGATACATGGAAACGTCTCCTCTCCTGCGCCATCCTGCTCCAAGGCTGCGCAGGAGCGTCAGGTTCGGTGGCACTACTGCACAGACACCGCAAACCAGTACGTCCCCCCAGCCAATGCTTACAACCCCTGAAGCTCTTGGACACACCATTAAATGCGATCATGTTAAAGGTGAACGGAACAGCACCTGGGATGGCTACACCACAAGTTTGGTTAATTGTCATCAGTTTGCAAACTTGCCTTGCGGCAACAAGAACCCGGGGCTTCTCACAATTCACAAATTAGTAATTCCTTTTACATGTGCAAACGTATGCACATGCAAACCACTGGAAGGAAAAAATGAACAATTAAGTAGTGAATGCCCTCCTTTTAACAAGGATTTGATCAAATTTCTGGCTCTCAAATCTTGGAATTCCTCACTCGAGGAGCATGGTTTTCAAAGAGTTTACATTGTAGTCCAGGCAGAACGTTCCAGCTAGCTAAACGGATATTGTAATGTATGACTGCAAGGCATCCGTCATTCTCTGTTATGGATGTAACGCTAATTTCAAGTGCCCACAGACCACATAATTATGTCAGAATACGACAAAATAAATTTTATTTTCTCTTAGTAGGTGACTTATGGGAGTAGATTAAGGCAGGAAAAATTCCTCATCTTTTTTTGCCCCTTCTGGCTACTCACACATGAGCAAAGGCAGTGTTTAGCCTCCCCTGGAGCTATTCAGAGAGCTCACTGAGAAAGAAAATAGGATTCCAGCTGGAGGAACGTGGAAACAAAAGTCAGGAAGGAAATAGGACACAATTTTCACCCTGTCATTCTGTTTTTCTGCTGTTGCATGCGAGCCACGTAGCGTAAGAGCACGAAGGCAATTTGGCCCACTGCTTCAGCCACATACATGTATCCAGCCTATGACTCAGAGCACCGCTGGCTGAAGATATTAGCAATCACCATGGAATAAAAAAGGATTATAGCATCTTCATGAATACATGTGCTTTACAAGATCAGGACCCGAATCCACCATCTGTGTCACATGCTCACTGAGTCTTCAAGGCATTTAGTGCAATATTCAAGCTATCACAGCAGGAGTGCAAATACTCCAGTATACTTTCACTTACCTAAGAACAGCGATCTCTTGAACTGTTATAGCCCTTTTATCTTTAGTTCCCATGTAGGAAAATATGTTTGGCTTCACTCTTAAAAGCAAGAGTAACACATATTATGTATATGAAAATAGCCATGGATTGAACATAATTTTCAGCATAATTACCTAGAATTATTAATCTTCTATATTAAAAATAGAACATATACATATATTCCCCAGAACTAGGCTACAATGTGACATACGTGTGACATTTTCTAATCTCGTCTAGAAGTACATAAAACAGAGAAACTTCTGTTTTAATTATACATCAACAGATTCACTTTTACCACAACTGTGCTTTCAGAATATGAGCTTTGAAGTACTTCTTTATATACACCCACTCAATCCACAAATGCGCAGCCACCACTCATTTCACTAAAAAAAATTCATGTCCATTTCTTCCTTAAACTTCAAGTAACATGTCTATTTGAATACCGTGCATGCACATTATGTGAGAATATGAGAAGTTAATTTAAAATTTGATCAATTTCTTTCCTTGAAAGGAAAATTTCCTTTCCACTTTGTACTTTATAGCCTGTGTTACACAGGGAATATTGCTAGTTATTCCAGCTATGGGCACCAAGGGGTAGCAGGATTGCCATTACATACATTTTTCCACCAAACTATTCTCATACCATTCTGTTCTCAAATACAAATACTAGTAGTATACTGGTTTGAATCTAGCTTTTATTTTTGGACAGGAAGGGCAAAGGGAAAAGGAGGGCAGAAGCAGGGAAGTTCCCCTACGAGTAGATCACTGAATTGACTCAATTTTAAAATGGTCCCTCCTCTGCAATTCGCTTAGTTCACATCACGCCTTTGGCAAATCTTTTTGTTGCTGCTCTTGATGGGGTGAAAGGAACTAAGACTGTGTTGCCATGAAGAAATTAATACATGGAACAATAGTTTACCAACTGTAACTGCTTAGGAACTGATCAGCATATTATCACAACAATATCTGACAGGTTCATAAACATACTTGCATATCTTCACACACCGGGGAAAAAAGTAGCTTTTAATTCAGGTTATGGACATTGAGGCTTTGAGCTGCCAAGCCCTTCTCAGATCGGCCAGCTTCAATTGTGGACCTTTTCCCATTGAAGTAGTAGGGTACAGTCTTTTAAATTTCTTGAGATCATTTTGTTCCATTCTCACCTCCTTCCAAAACTTACAAGTTTCAAATCTGATATTCTAAAATAACTTTTTTTTTAAACACTGGCTACAAATTACGGAATAGTAATCACTTGTGTTGCTCTTACATCTGGAGCATAACATTTGCAGTAACATGAAACATACAGGAGGAGGACTGCATGCTCGCCACGCTGGCAGAAACAACAGCCTTACCTTAAAAATTTGGATAGGACATTAATGGCATCCATAGTATCCTTGTTCTCCTTGTACAGTACGAAGTGGCAGTAGCTTCCCCTAGATTTTGGCCAAGAGTGTTTTCTTGGATCTTTAAAAACAAAAGATTAAAATTTGTAAAGTGTCATTTTTTTAAATTTAAGGAGTGTCTTTGCCATTGCAGCTACATTTAAAACAAATATACGAGAGTCAAATTCTGCTGATTTCCATCTGCTTTCTTATTAAAAAAAGGAAAAAAAGTTAATTACTGACAGCAAAAGCTGCAAAGCACATTGCAAAAGACTTTCTCCCCTTCCACTGGGCTGTAAAATTCTCTTTAATCAATTCTGTCACCTAGGAGAAAATCTGCAATAAAACGGTGACTGTTCCTTTGTCATTAAATTACCTTAAAATGTACCCTAGCCATTTAACTGCCATATTGCCTGATTAAATTTCTCAAAAACATTATCATTACATTAACTTTCAGCAATAAAAGCCATTCTTCATTTCAGTGCCTTTTATAATTAATAGATGAGGACGACTGGAGCCCTGTTTGTGGGAAGACGATTATTATTTATAGGACTTCCATATTCTTTATTTCTGTAGGATCTTTCCTGCGTGTCATGCAAAAGCATGAGTTGTATCTCTACAAAAGCCTAAAAAAAAATACTCACAAAAAATTATTTTCAGGTGTTTTTTTTTTTTTAATCCTATGGGAGAGAGAAATCTGGCACAATAGAGACATTAACAAATAATTCAAGCCAGATACTGTGCCGTGTTTAGAGAACGCCAGGAGGAGAGAGCTCCTGCACACTAACAAACGATTTACAATTCTGTACAATTATTTGGCGTTTTCTGGCGAGGGAAGGAAACTGTCAACTTGTCAAGCTTTTGTTGCACATAAAAGCCTCCAGAGATAAAACTTGCCTGTTACACTCATCCACTATTGATGGATTACTGGGGAGGAGGATTGATTCTACACAGGTTTAGCAACCAATTTTGAGGTGCTTTGTTTATCAATTCTTTGTTTTCTAGGAACAAAACTAAGGATTTGTTTTGTTTTAAATGACAAGTCCCTTATCTCTTGGCAGCCACCAAGCATACATTGCTGGTTTTGTACAAAAAGGGCTTAAAAGTCGTTCATAATCAGCAAAAGCTAACTGAAGAAGCCAGTCCTATTCCAGCATATAAACACCAATGCAGGAAGGAAGTTCTTGGGAAATTCTGCTCTTTTTGTTCAGGCTATTTTAATAAAGCCCAGATATCCCACACAGACAGTGAGTATCTTTCTGCTAAAAGATAATTATTCTTGCTTTTTTTGAGAAAGTGCCATCCATATACATGCTTCTGCAAAAAAAAAAATTCACATGCTACAGTATAAAATACTATACACTTAGTTTTTAATCACTTAGAAATTATTGCGACGCTTGCCTTGTACCATCAGTTTCTAAGCAAAGCCCCCTCCTATGGAGCTTCCTAGGGCCTAAACTGAGCAGAATGGCCTGTTAAGAGACCTCATGCTCCTGCTGGTCTCCCTTCTGAGCCACCACTGTTCCTAAACAGTCAATGAAACAACGCATTCAGCTTGAAGAGCAAGGTCCTTCATGAAGAACTTGATAATCAGAAGAGAAGAAAGGAAGACAGAGTGTGATTCAGGAGAGCCTTCTCCAGCTGGAATTGTTCTTTAAATTTAACTAATCCATCTTGCACGCAGTCATTTCAACACCCTTCAAAAAGAGAGCCCTAATCTGGGCTAGACTAAAAGGACTCTATAGGTACTATATATACAAATGGGCACCTCATGCTTTAGGCATCACAGCCATCACATCACATCACCACTGCTGGCCATGCTGAGTACTGGGAGGCTGCAGCTACAGTCCCGATACTTAACCATTCCTCACCCAACACGTCCAAGTATTCAACTGAGTAGATGGACTGGAGGGACAGCCTGCAGTCCTTATCGCTATGTTGCAGAGTCATGTTACATTTCTGACAGTAAAACCGTACTTTCAAGCACTTTTTCCAAATCTTTTGCTGCAATTCAAGGGCTGGAAGCTCTTTTTAGTATCGAGATGTATGATGTATACTTTTAAAGTTTTATAAATACAGATGGTGGTGTTTGAAATACAAGGCTGAAAGGGCAAAGGCTTGGCTTAATGAAATCAATGGAAAATTTACCATAGATGTCAAACAGTATTGTCAAAACTGGTAATTCTCAACACTTATTACTGGCAGACTTTCTCTGCACTGAATGACTACTGCCTATATTGCACCAGAAAAAAGAGGCATTGGGCACATGCCCAATTCTTGGCTGTTTCAGGGAATTTTAAGCATTACTTATGTGTAGGGTTTTTTATTTATTGTTACTAGTTTGGTTAGTCTTGTCGCTATTTAGGAGGTCGTAACAGTTGGCATTTCATTTTGTTAGCATGAAATGTCAACATCTCTTACCTGTTGCAGTTCTGACCTCTGTCCCAATGCATAGCATAAAGAGCACAAAAGAGTAGCATTTAATTTTTAGACTGTCAAAGGGTTTTTGGAGGTGATCATGCAGGTTTATGGTTATGGGATTGTTTATGCTTTAGAGAGCATCCAACAGTTAGGTGGTGGATGACAGCAATTTAGACAGTTATGCAATGGAATCGTGCAGAGGCAAACAGTGAACATATGGAAAGCTTCAACTGGAGATGCAACAAACTTCATTTGTGGACAATGATGAAACAGCAGTTTACTGACCATTTAGTAAGGCGGTATTTTAAGTATTTTGGGTGTACACTTTACTATAGACACAAAGCAGCTTCTAATTTTAAATTTTAGGAAAGTATGTTTGGTAGCCGTTTACATTATTAACAAAAGTAATCAGATATCTCGGCTAATATTTGAATATTCTACACTTCTGAAATGTTTCTTGCCTGGGGAACCCACTCAGGACTAAGATGTGTTAGTGCCTATATAAACACAATAAATAAATATAATTCTGACTAAAACGAACTTGTGCTCTTACATCTTACATTCATAAGCATTTACACACACTCACTGAAACTGCACACATTTTCACCAACATGCACAGGTGTTTGTAGCATCACAACTTAGGAATCCAAGTTTAAAGAGACGATGCTCCTCTGAATCACAAGATGGTGCTCCAGATAATGTTTTACTCCTAGAGATACATCACTAAATTCTTTTCAGTGTATTTCAAATACTTAAATTCTTTTATACAGTATCTGTTAAGTCAGACTGGTCAGCTTAGCAACAACCACTTGACTGTAACGATGGTTAAAGAATAGAAGCAGCAGAAGGAAAAGGTGGAGGTAAAACCATTACAAACCAACAGAGGACAAACTGGCTGAGGAGAATTTTGTGCTGGTAAGTATACATACTCCATGCATAAAGCATGCAAACATATAAATTTTCTAAACATGGTTAAACAAGATAGATAAATATGTTATAACTGTACCAATAAAAGTACAACATTCCCATATGTGCTTAGAACAAGCCTTAAAAAATAATAACTAAATTGAATGTGGAGATGGTGTTACTTCCAATTTTAAATTATCTTCTCTCCCTATCCTTTCTCCATCCCCTTAATCTTTAAAATTAAAGGGCTAGGTTTACATACTGTCATTTGTAGTAGGTTGAAATGATGGAGGAATGCTATCAGTTTAAACCAAACCAAACCTTAATACCTTTCGTTAAATGTGCAACATGCTGGATGTAGAAAATCCTCCCAACTTACAGTAGCAACAAATTTGTAGTAACGTTAAAAGATGTACAGCATATGAATTTATCCCCAAAACAGTATTTGGCAAGATTAAGGTGGATAGTATTTCACTTTGAAAATCCTTCATTACTTTGATTATTCCAGAATAGTAACTGTGATTTATAATGAATAAAGACAATTTTCTGCAAATATAATTAGCCTTGGAAACAGAAGTAGTCTTAAAGATCATCGTAAATATATTATGTTTATATAAAACTATAACTCTGGGAAAACACATAGGTGCTTGTCTCTATTCAAGTCATTGAGAACTTTGTCATTTTCAAGACAGTCAAGATTACACCCACTGTCTAATGTGGGTACATTGTACACATTTCCACTACAACCTCTTACTTCCACAATGCACATATACACATCCAGGTAAGTTCATGAAAGCTAAGTAAGCTTACCTAGCTAAGCTAGACAAATTCAAACAATACTAAAAATAAAGCCCCTATTTTGCTTTTTCCCACTGAAACAACAAGATCCTCTCACTTCTAACACGGTTGTATTTGATAAATGATTTAGAAAGAAAAACAAGTAGAAATTTAAATTCCAGACACTCTTTGTGTTCCTAGTCATTTTAGATGCACAGCATCAGTTGCAAAGAGGAAAAAGCAACACCAGGCTACATTAGGAGGTACGGTCCAATTGAAGTACTTACTAATGATTTCTATTTTGGGGATAATTTTAGCATTTACTTTACCCAACTGCTGTGATACTGAAACTCACTTGCCAGTGCTTTTTTCCCAGCAGCATGATAAGCAATGATGTATTTTTTTCCATCTCGATCTTCTGTTTTAGTCTCCAGTCCAGGAAACAAAGACTTCACAGCCTGATGAATAACTGTTCTTTTTTCTTTGGTGTCTTCAATTACCTGTGTTAATACACACCATGCAGAAACCAAATAAAGTAATACGAAAGGGAAGGGATTCTCTGAGTTAAATTTTGCATGCTTAGAGAAAACCTACCAAATCACACTAAAGTACTGAACTGGTATACTTTCAAAACTCTGGCCTACTCATTAAAATTAGTTTGAAACATAATAAATAACTCTGCCACAAACCCCAGTCTCAACATCCACAAAAGAAAATTCTCAAGATTTTTTTTTCCCCTTTCCTGTGCTTAATAAAATTCCCCCTTCTGATGAAAACTCTGGCAAAACAAAGTTTTTCTACACGCATTAAAGGAAAAAAAATGGCTAGATGAGATTATTTAATCTGTGAATGCTTAATTTGAAACTACCAGATTTAATCCTACTCATCTCTTTGTCCCAAATTTAGCTCAACAGTTATTCTTCAAATGTATGGAATATTTTGATGTTTAAAAATATCAAGTTTTAATTTCATTTTGTACCTTCTTATTTTTCTTGTTACAGAAAAGCATATTTATCTCCTTTTCTATTACATCACTAAACACTGACCTTGAAAATAGTCCTTCATGAGGATGGATATTTTATTTAATCCTTCTTACATAATTATCCTATAAAATACTACTAGATAGAAAACCAAAATACTGCAAGAAAATTTTAACACTACAGAAGTTGACATGTATTTGAGTCTATGAGTACAGTCCCACCAAAATCAAAATGACAACTCAGATGCATGCATTTGAATGTATCTGTAAGGCTTTACAGATTGGAACCCCAAACTGGAAACATTTTGGTACTATCTGTTGCATGACGTTCAAACTGCTCTTATGCCTTACATGCACCAGAAAGCATCTACCTTCCATTCCCTCCCTCCTCCCTCCATCATCCCCAAACTTCATATAACCTATTAATTTTACCTCTATGGAAACACTAGTTTCCTTATTCTTAAGAAGCTGGAGCTCCTCTAAACGCTGCTTGTCTTCATCTGACAAAACTGTAAATGTTTCTTCTGATGGGTCCTAATCCATGTTTGGGAGGGGAAAAACAAACATCCAATAACCCTCACAGAACAACTTTCAGCCTTCCAAGGTTTTTGCTTAAGGAACATAGCCATTACCAAATCTTTACCTCAAAATTTACCTCATCATCCACTGGAACAGAAAAGTCATCTAAATGACTCACACGTCCATCTTTGCCTATTTCATGGACAACAAAGTCTGAGTATCTGATAGGAAGAAACACACATTAAAATTGTAATAAGAAAGACAAAAAACCCACATGACATGAAGTCCTTTCCCAGGAAGCTGTTTGTTAGCAGAATTCATTCATGAATTCTGAATTCACATAATTCAATTCACATACGAGAAACACCAACCATGAGAATGCTGTACCTATTCCCACCCCTCGGAAAGATACCACGAGAACACAGAAGAAAGTCTGGCATATCCAAACACAGCAGACTTCTTTGCAGATAACCAACCACCTGCTGTAGTTACTCTGAGACATTTTCTAACTAGCTTGCAGAGGCTGGTAATGCATATCCTCAACCCCAGTCATTACTGACAATTAGGACTCTGCTGCATTGCTGCAACATGAACACAAATGCAGTAACTCTGTCACTTCAAATAACCTGCAGAATAAAGCGCACATTAGCCACTCCTTAAGCAGGTCAAATTCAGCTCTGTTACATATATTCAATTACAGAGAACATCTTCAAATAAACAGTTACTCTGCATACTCTATGGCAGCAACAAAGAATTTGACTGTGACATTTTTGATCAAGTCACTATGTCCAATAATAAAAACATCCTGACTTTTAACAGAGCGACAGTCTATGTTGCAATTGCTAAATGTTTTAAGTAGCAATTGTCTGTAAAGGGCAAACAAAGAAAAAGAAAAAAATTCTTAGTCTATGTATGTCAACAGATGAGTAAAATTTCACCATGGGAATGTTTCTACTGTATCTCCCCCAAGTCCCTGTTTGCCATACCTCTGTGCAGCCATACATCATACTGGTAGAATTCCTTCCTGAGGGGTGTTATGTGTCCTCTCTCTTATTATCTGTAGCTGTCTAGAAATGCTAGTGACTGGTACCATAAAAATGCCAGGACTAAATTAATGATAGGTGTTATAAACTAGGATCAATGAAAAACCATGAGCCCAACAAACGTTTCTACCACCCGGCTACCTTTGGCCACATTTGTTCAAAACTGGCAAGTTTCCCAGAAGGAGGTTCAGCACAGACTGTGTTCCCCAGTGGAGGATTATGCTAGCTGCTTAATGCTGCATATAAAGATTTAATACATACATAATATGTACGTATCACTTCATTATGTAAAATGATCTATATATGAAGACAGTATTTAGAAACAGGGACTTCTTGGTGTACAAAGCAAGCATATTCAACTGCTTTGCTAAGTCAGGGCAACAATGATTCTCACTTCAGTGAGGTTTTTTATTGGCATTCTGTTTTATTCAAAGATGTTATTTAATTTAAAATTTAGAAGTTTAATTTAAAAAGTGCTACTAAACCCCAAACACCTGATTAAGTATATAACATAAAATTCCACACCCTGAGTTAAAAAATTCCCTTTTATGTTTTACAAATCACATTACAACTGAATAGACAATAATTTAAAGCCTAATGTGCCATCTGACAATATAGGTGTTTAAAGACATTAGCACAAAAAAGGAAAAGCGAAGAACTAAAGAGGGATGGTTTCAATTCCATTCTCCAGTGCACCTTGTATCAGCACTGAAGAGTGGTAGGAAAGGTGGGTGTACTGCGTAAAGTTTTATGCTGTATGCTGCTGACAGAGAGCAAGACAAACAGCAAAGATCACTGTAATCATGTATTTCTAGTCACAGACACCTTCTTTCTTCAGAGCTCCATTTGACAGGAAAGAAGGGGGGGGAAGAAAAAGCATCTAGAAAAGTCCCAAATTAAACCTTTCTTTCAGTCTCAGCACTAGGAAAAGAAAATGATGAACCTCCTAAGTGGTCACACATAATCCAGTTGCAACTTGTGAGTCAGAAAAGGAAAGATGAGAACAACAGCTGCTTAACACAACGAATTAACATACATAACAAAACAAAAAGTTACCTCTCTTTTAAGATTCCAGAAAACCCTTTATGAGAGCTAACAAATTTAGTTATGCCAACATCACTTTCTGTCAGTCCATGCTTCATCATGTCTGCAAAGCTCTCCGGATCTCCATCTTCATCACTGTCCTCTAGTTCCTCATCTTCCTGCTCCTCACTTTCCTCATTGGGCATTATTTCATTTTTCGTGTCCTCAAGCAGAGATTTGTCAGGTTGTTCTGTTACAGCCTCAATGCTCTGCCCAGAGTCGTTCCCTGTCTTAGACTTCTCTGAGATCTTCGGTCTTTTAATTTCATCTACATTAGCCACATCATCCTCAGAGCGAGGACGTTTTAAGGATACACTATTCACTTCTACAGTTTCCATGTTTAAGGCACAGTGTAGGACAGAAAGCCCTGAGGAGCAAGAATGGCTTTTTTCCTGTCTGCTTAAGAGCAGTATCAATACATGGTCTCTTCACTCCAAGGACTCTGCGCCCTGCAACAGTTCAGGAAAACCACATAACTTTCTGCATTTTTAAGTTAAGCATCAAGTAAAGATTGGGTACAGCTAGAAACAAAATGCATTTGGGAAGAGAGAAGGCAGATGTTAAGAGGACTTAATACCCACCCAAGGCAGCATGCATGTTAGGCCGCAGGAGAGCAGGATTCAATACTACACCATTGTCCCTCTTGCCAACTCTTACCACAGCTGCATCCAGCCCTGTGCACACAGGCTCTGCTGTTGATAGCAATTTAATGCCTTAGAAACTTTTTGTCCCCAAGCCTTCTGTTAAACATGACTACTCTTGATTATTCCTTGTTCTACCAAGATTTTGTCTTGCAAGGACTGAGAGAGGATGGCTCCATTCCCCCAAACCTGAAATCTCATCTCTTCTAACACACACAATCCCATACAGAACTCAAGGTGGCAGCAATTCAGACCAGAAAAGGGATGAGATAACAAAATCACTGAATGAGTGGGACAAACAAAACAAGGAAGTGAAATGATCTCTGAAAAGAACATGACTACTCACACTGGTGGAGCAGAGCTCTGACCCTTCCCTGGCAACTTGAGCTGCCACCTTTGCGTCAGCAGAACTAGTACCTTCAGATCTGAAAAACAGAGGAAAACTAACTCTTCAAGAAAGTTTTACAAAAACATGCATCAATGTGATCATTACAGAAACCGGCTGCCTCTGTACCCAGATATCAGTAGTTATACAGGAGCAGACACTACTCAAACAGACAAATTACTAACAAATACAATTGTATGTCACCAACTTAGTGACATAAGACAATATTGCTATTTAGCAAGCTACAGCAGAGAAGTTTGGGTTTATTTCCATGTTTATGAAAGGAGACCAGAGTTCCTATAATGAGGCAAGGACAGGACCTTTCTCCCAGCATCACCCAACTGGCACACCAGTGTGTTGGGGATAAACTGCAGGTTTTGGTAGCAGGGGGCTGCATGGGAGGAGGCCATCAACTGCCCTGTGCTGGTCATGGCCAGTTCCAGCTGGCTCCTAATGGACCAAACCCACCGCCTGCCAAAACTCCAACTCATCAGAGGAACAGACAGTGCCTCTGCTCCAGCTTATTTAAAAAAGGGAGGAGCTGCTGATGGCAGAAAGCACAATGGGAAGCACAGGTAGAGGCGTGTGACAGCACGCTAAAAAAGACATGGGGGGAGGCACGGGGAAGGGGACATTGTTGGGCACGCAGTTAGAGATGCACTCCTGGAAGGAGGCTGTCCACACCAGAGCAGGGACACCACTGAGAGGACTGCAGCCTGTGAAGGTGCCCGTGCTGGGGCAGGGACACCCCTGAGGTGACCATGGCCCATGGAGAGGCCCACATGGGAGCAGAAGAAATGAGAAAGAAGGAACAGAAGAAAAAAAACCTCTGCGTACCCATCCCAACCGCCTGTACCACCACTGCCTCGCCCAAGGGACAGAGTGTAACCCGTGGGGCCAGCCAGCGCAGGGGAGACAAGGAAAGCAAGGGAGGGGAAGTGTCTGGAGTGAAGTTCAGCCTGGGGAAGGGGGAAGAAAGGAGTTTTCCCCAAGTGTTTATTCAACTGACTATATCTCACTAGCCAAGTCAGTAATTAAAAGTTTATGTTAACTGGCAACAAATTAAATTCCCCAAGTTAAGAGAGTTTTGCCCACAACAACAGGCAGGTTTCTAAATTAATAGGATTAAATTGTTACTAACAAAATAATCTAGACATACAGCAGTATTTTAGAGCTACACACATCACCTTGCGTTATTTCTTCAGCCACCAGATAGCATATTCTATTTCATTTTAAAGGGTATGTTTTTAAAGACTCATTACTAACTTGATAATCACCACATGCTGGGTTGTTAACTAACTGGTACCAGTGAGCTGTTAGCCACACTGGTTTCATTACCTGGACTTTCCATTGTAGAGGTCACAAACTTAGGGTAAAGAGACAGGAAACTGTTTTAGAAACACCTGAAACATTTTGCTCAAATGAAGAGCTGAAAATGAATGCTAGAAAAAAGACTAGACAAAAGGGAAATGGGGAAAGGCTTATAAAAAAGTGTGTATTGCCTGAAGAGAGGAGTGACAAAACACACAGAGAAGAAAGCAATGTACCTTCAAGCACAAAGCACCAATTTCAGTTTGTCCTCAAATAAAAATGAAAGTACATTTAAAAAAAAAATCATAGCCAAGAGAAGCCATTCACCATCATTTCCAGATTCTTCTCCTATGTACCCAAATTTACGGAGCCTGGGTTATAAAGCACTGATGTGGAAGAGGCTTCTAGGCAGCTTGCAAATGTCTTTGCATGGTGAACAAAACACCACTCAGCACAGTGAAATCCTCCGAGACACCTGCCAGAGGAGGTAACAAGACAAATCTCATGTTTCCAAACCAAAATTGTAACACCTAGTTTTTGAATGATACAAGCTGTTAGAAGAATTTAACGTTGGCCGCAAATACTCCAAAGTTGTCAGATACGGCCTGCTCTCTCAGCAGAGAAATGACTCACATACAACAAAGTACTATCCTGTGCCAAATGGCGGCCGTCATGTGGGAAGATTTCTGCAGGATAATTACTTGAAGGAGCAAGCTGAAGTGAGCGGGGCACACACTGCCTCACTTGTGCAGACTGCTAGTGAGAGGCGCCTGTTATTTTTTTGACAGCCGCTCAACCGCCTCGGTCCCTTCCCTAGCAAACAGGTGTTTCCATAAAAGCCAGAATCTGCATAAACAGCAACTCCGCAGCAATTTCAACCATGTTTCAGCAGAGACTGAATTTACTGCTGCTAATACAGGGCTCGATTCTCCCCAGCAAGAAATGCCGAGCGATTACTGCCGGTGTGGTACCCGTCAGGCAGGCACGGGGCTGCTGGGGGCTAAGGGGTGCGGCCCCCTAAATAAATGCAAGAGCCGGCGCCCGCCAGCGCTGGGTACGAAGCTGACCTCTCGTGAGACGAGGCACATCGCATTAAAAGGCGACGGACGAGAGGGC